CGGCGGCGAGAGGAGCGGGATGGGAGCGCGCTTTCAGCCGCAAAAGTTGTGCGAACCGCGGGAGGGCGGAGGCGGCCCTGGAGCCACCACACGCCAATCAGCCCGGGCCGGTCGCGGGGCGGGCGGCTCCTCCTTGGTTGACATCACCGGCCCCGCTCGGGGGCCCGGGGGCGGGGAGAGGGCAGGAAGAGGGCGGGGGCGGTCTGGGTCCCCGGGGTAAGCTCACGGAACCCCCGGGTGAGCTCATGGAGCCCCCGCGTAACTTTTGTCATGGGCCCACACCCTGGAGCATCGCTTTGAGTTTTGGAGAAATGGAATGGGGTGGGGGCGGAGGCGGGGGCCCTTTCCGCCCTTTTCCAGCTCCTGAGCCACACAGTAGGTCTGTGAAAAGTCGGTGTTGGCAATGTAATTGATACCAGGTGAGTATTACAGCGTGCTTTCAGAGGCAGAGAAGGGGAGCCTAGACCAAGCCCCGCATAGTGCGCCTGCCTGCATTGGCCTTAAGGATCTGAAGAGGCCCCAAGCCACTGCTGCCCTTTTGGGTCCCCAGCGCTAGTGATAAGCTTGTGTCAGCCACACTGGGTGTCTGAGGTGAGAACCCTTATCTTTAAGGTTCACAAGCTTGATTCCCAATACTGTCACAGTCTTTGGTTTACACCAGTGTTCTGTGGAGATGTCGCTGCTGGGACATTCAAACACTCCACAGGGAAAAGAAAACTGTGAACTGATTCTGGGGGAAGGACAAACCCATAGCAAGGAAAAGGACAGCAATATACAAATTAAACAAAACTGATACACAGCCTACACTGAAGTTGAAATGAAACCTTTAGGGGAGATGTTCCAAGACTGGGTGTCAATAAATTTGCTTGGTATTTCAAGTTCTGTGTGTGGCCTTATTCCCTGCTCCCAGAAGACAAATGATACAATGCCCAAAATTTAGGACCCAGATCTCTTCGTTTGTAAGTAAAGAAAGAGCAGCTCAAAATAGGGAACCAACTTGCTTGAGACTGTAGGAGAACCAACAAAGGATTTCTCACTGGATGACCACGTGGTTTCATTCTTACCTCATAGTTTAGAGTTGTCAATAATTCAGACAATGTCTCAACCAAAATGAAAACCACAGCTCCCTTGGGATGCTCTCGGATGTGCCAGGGTTCTTTGTCTGTTTACCAAGTGCTCAGGAAAATGGGCTTCTCTACAGCTCTCTGTCTCCAAATCTCCGAGACCCACCTCCAGGGGAACGAGCGGATCATAATGTCCAGGGCAGCTGCAGATGGGCCTAGACCCATCTTCTGGTGACTCAGTACAAGTGAGTCATGTGGCAGAAAACAAAGGATGCTCCATATAAATAAGTTCACCTTAAACCAGTGAGCAAAGAGTAGAGAATGTGGGTTTGGGTTTAGAAAACCACAAAAGAAACCTAGCTTTTGAGGTCTCACATGAAGTGTTCAGACCTCTCAATAAGAAAGAAAGAAAGAAAGAAAGAAAGAAAGAAAGAAAGAAAGAAAGAAAGAAAGAAGAAAAAGAGGAGGAGAAGGGAGGAGGAAGGAAGAAAGGAAGGAAGGAAGGAAGAAAAAGAGAAAGAAAGAAAAGATCCAGGCATGAACTCAGCTTAACATCTCTGGACATAGCTCCTGTTAACGCGGGACTATGCAGCGGCCCAGACTCAGCTAAACAAGCTCCAATAGGCCAGTACACTGTGCTCAGAGGCCATGGTCACTGCAGCTCCCTCCCTTCAACAGAAAGGAAGACTAGCTAAAGACCAAGTCACCCTTTCAGGCAAACAGGAAGGTTTAAGGGGTAAAAGACCTGTCCAGACTTCCCATGTGCCTTCAGAAAGCTCACTTGGGAATCTTACCTTTCCTGCCAACACCCCAGGGCATTGCACCTGCTGCCTGCCCCTCCCGTGAAGCATTAGATTTATCTCTCTAATCTCTCTGCCATCTAAGTCAATGGAACATTCAGAGTAACTGCCAGCCTAACCAGTGGATAAAGGGGGAGACGTAGGGGGAAACTGTGAAGGTTGATCACAGTGTAGATGGGATCTAGTGCCTTTTCATCTCCTAGGACAAAGCCAGAGGAGTCGGCAGGGAGGCCACACTTAGAACACAAACTTTCAAACAATGGAAACTGCCTCTTTTCCTGATTTTACCACCGCTAAGTGATCTGTGCCTTACTTTCTCCATCTCTAGAACAGATTGTCCTAGATGATCGCTAAGACTGTTCTTTCCCTGGTGTCTTAAGGTGCAGGGGCAAGGCTGTCGAAACAGGTGCCTAAGGACACATAAATGGGGCACAGTAAAACCATCCAACCTCTGTGGGTGCAGTTGAAAGAAAGGTGTATTGTAGATGTGGAAGAAAGAATAGCCAGAGGCCTTTGGGAAGTCCAAAGCAGTCATGGCTTCCTCTTGGGGACAGAAGATAAGAGAAGAGAACTGGCCTCAGCCAGGGCTATCTCTTGGGAGCAGAGGAAAAAAAAAGTTGGAAAAGTAGATCAGGGAGTGAAGCAAGGGTGGGAAAAACACCACCAAGAACAGGTAGCTTCAGGGCGGGAGGAGGGACCTGGAAGGGCCTGAGAGCTAGCATCCTGGAGGGGAATGTGAGAAGGGCCAGAAGGTTAGCGTGGGTGCTCTGATATTCATAATAAGTACCTGTTACTAGGGACTAGAGGAGCCTGGAGTCTGTTTGCTGAACAAGGCTGGAAGCATCCCAGGATAAATTTGAGGGATCTGTGGGCTAGGGCTGCAGAGGGATGTGAGGGCAACCACGAAACTGTCAGGAAAGTCAGCAGGAATCTAGTGGTTCTGCCTCTGATACTACATGGGGTCAAAGCGTTTACAGAAGTGTTCACGCCTTGGTTTGCAGTAACAAATAGGACTCCTTCATCCCCATGAGGATGCTTCGTTTCTTCTCACCCCACAACCTTCCACACGGATGGGAGGGTTGCCAGGTGCCTTTCTCACGATCTTTTAGGGCTGGACAATCTCTGGCTCTGCCATTCTACAATCCATGGCTTCCGACTCTGCTTTGGGATTCAGCGTTCCCATCAGCCAGAGGTGAAAAGATCTTGGAGGCAAGCAGGAGAAGCTTTGAGGAGGCAGGCCTGGGAGGGGCATGCCTCACTTCCTCTCTCAGTCCACTAGGGAGAATGCGACAATAGGCTTCACCCTACTGGGAAGGAAGCTGGGAAATGCAGCCTCCACACAGAGGCAAAGGGGAGAGGCTAACAATGGCTACCACCTGGCACCAGGGTACCTGGGAGGGAAGGAAGCACGGAAGCTTCCTTCTTGGTCCGAAAAGGGCAGTGAATCAGGTGATCTCTCCGGCCCAGCGACTTGAATATTCTGTAGTGTGCAGAAGATGCCCCAAAGTGAATAAGCAGAAGAGGCCCCAGTTCAGCGTGCCCTCTGTCTATTGGTCAGTAGAGAGGACCTTGGGTTTTCTCCAAGTTCTGTCCCTAAGATGTTCCCATTTCTCAGCCAAGTCAAGTGATCACTATTGACTTCAGTGTTCCCAATTGTCCGCTGAGAAGAAAGCCCATTACCTTTCGATGCCTCACCGGGGTTGGTCTGAGGTTATGATGAGGTCACCAAGAACTCTTCTGAGCACCATGGTGCTCGCCACACAGTGCTGTTATCAGCAGGGCCTCTCAAGTGTGCCCACTTTGTTCCATCTGTGGCAGAATAAGCTAGCATTGCCAAGGCTGGGATCCAGCAGTGACTACATGGCAGGCTACTCCAGGGATACCCAAGATGCTGGTGATTATGGGTTCCTGAGGTTGGCAAGCTGGTCAACAGACACCTGATCTGAGCCTAGCCTGGGGGCAGAGAACTGGCTCTAGGCATCACTGTGGGAGGCTGCGAGTTTCTCACGCTAACCCATCCTGGGTCTTGTTTATTCATCCTCTCATCGGCTTGTCTCTCCTCCCACTAGATTTATGAGCTGCTTTCTTGGAACTTCTGCACTTTCCTCATCTTTTACCAGCGGAAGCCGACACAATGCCTTCTTTCATTTAGTCAGCCAGCAACTATTCCTGCTGGGACTACCCTGTGCCTGGCTCTGTGCTAGGGTGGGATGAGCCTCGGAGCTCAGAACTTAAAGGTTTGAAGAAGACGTCCACCCAAAGGGCACCATCGTAAACCTGTGTCTGTGGACGGGCCCTGAAGAAGAGCACTCAGGAGGTCATGGCCATCTCCCTGTAAAATGAGCTTGAACCATGATCTGACCTCTGTCTAGGTTGTTAGCTGGGTCCAAAGGGAGCTGGAAGCATATGTATAAGCCTGAAGGCAGGACGACTTGGAATAAGATAAACGTAAAGGAAAAAAGAAAACCATGAGTTGGAGAAATGGTTCAGAAATTAAGAGCACTGGCTGCTCTTCCAGGGACCTGGGTTCAATTCCCAGCAACTACACGGAAGCTCACAATTGTCTGTAACTCCAGTTCCAGAAGATCTGATGCCCTCCTCTGGCCTCGCAGGTACTTCATGAATGTGATGTACAGACATACATGCAGGTGAAATACCTACACATAAAATAAGACTGTGAATAATTAAAAAAAAGAGAGAGAAGTAATCCAGGATGGCTGGAGACCAGTAGACAAGGAAGAGCATGGAGGTGACCCAGTCCAAAGATGGTGAGACTGCTTAGACCTGGTAAAATGTACCAGCACCACATTTTAAGAATCTGTGCTTTAAGAGATTAGGAAGTCACTATCAGATTTTAGCTCAGAGAGATGGGGTACAGTGGGGCAAAGGGGTGACATGATATACAATTAGACAGCATTGTTCAGGGATGAGAGGAATGATCCGGAATTGAGAGCTGGTACGCAGACTCTAAAAGTTCAAGTCTTTTAGAGTTGAGGAGATGAGCACTCTCAGACCAGAGGGACAGCAGCGAGTTCCAAGGATGCTATGCATTTGAGAGGCTGCAGGAAGTAAACAGTCATAAGTAATGATGGCCAAGGCTTCCTGAGTTTCTGTCTTGCATGGTTGGACAGACGCTGGTACCAATCACAAAGAAGAGGGGACAACCTATGTATGGGTAGTAGTGGGTCTTCGAAGTCAAGACCACTGATTGTGTTTTGGGCATGGGTCCCAGGAGACTTGGAGATAAATGTCCACGTGGCAGTGCCAGTGTGCCTCTGAG